CCAAATATTTAGGCTCGATGATCTCTTGGGACAAATCATTCGAGGTAGCTTTCCAGCATAGACTAGGCGTAGCGGAATCAGCCTTTAAGAAAATGCGCCTAGTATGGAATTGTAACATGGCGCGTAGTCGAAAAGTCAAACTCTTTCTAGCGACCTTTGTGCCATGCTTAACCTATGGTCCAGACGCCCTTACCCTCACGGATAAGCACATCAAAAAAATTGATGGACAGTACTACAGATTCCTCAAACGTGCTATCGGCATAAAAGCCTCATATTACTCAAGAATCTCCAACCTTGATGTATGGACGCAAGCTTTTAGGCCACAACGCCCTTCCGAAGCCCTGAGAGTTGCCCAGTACAAAATCTTGCACGAAGTGTTCGCACATTCCACGGAGAGCCCCCTATATAATGTTGTTTTCTGCACCAGCCACAAGGATAGAATTCTTTCCCAAGGTCGTAGACGAGGCATGCAGTTTCCATATTGGATTGAAGTAATGCAAAAGCGCTACCACCCCGAATTGTCTGACCACACCGCAGGGGTACTAGGCCCTCACTCTAAGTACGCTAAAATGAAAAGAGCTGTGCGGAATCCCCTTGAGTTGGCGCCAAAGCGCGCGCGTCGCACTAGAAAAGCCCGCGCACGGCCCTAGCAAAAAAACCCTAAACCCTATTATGCCCCAATATAGTACCTTAAGTTGAGTGCGTTAACAGCCACCTAGTTTCGGGCAAGGAGAAGGTGGTAATGCTCAATCCGGGACTTTGGCATCCTGGCTGCTGGGCCGTAGATTTGAAAAATGCGATTGAGCAGGTGTTATGTAGGATTGTTTCTACGCGGTTTATGGTTTAGGGTGTTTGCCTAGCATTTTCCTGAGTGTGGATAGACAATCCGTTCATGCAGACCCATGATTAATAAGCCCCCTCCTTTTACGGGGCTTAATATTGGGATCCTACTATAATCCTATTAAGGGGAGGAGGTTTATTAATCAGGGGTCTGAGCTAGGAAGTTTTCATGGGGGTGTCGATGCGGGGAGACCACAGAATAACGGTCTAGTTTTCCTTAGTGACTCAGAATCACCTTGACTAATAATCAACCCTCCAACCTCTGATAAAGCAGATAGCCTCCGTATGATACCATGTTATGTATGTGTATATATATATATGTGTGTATATATATATACATATGTATATCATTGCGGGGGTGTTGCTGTCCATTGTGAGGTTTAGGGCTTAGAGCTGAGGTCTAAAACTACGTGTATACCGTGTAATTTGGAATTCCGACTAGTAGTTCTAGGGTCCAACCCTGAACCCTAAAGCCTAAACGTGTTACAAAGCTTCCGAGATGTGAAGCCGCCGGATTTCAAGCGGGCTTATCTGAGAAGGACAGGCGGTTTAGTGCTCAGGGTTTGGGGTTTCATTGCACATTATGGGCATATCGTCAACAATAATGCTCCCTTACTATCGCAAGTTCCTTAACAGCAACCCAGTTACCCGCGGAGGCCAGGCAACCAAGTTTGCAGGGGGGCAGCCCAAGAGCTACTCAGGTCCTCAATAACAAGAATGTTTTCCGGGGTGCTGATTTATATGGAATCCATTAAGTTCAAACTGATACTAAGCTCTGCAGCACTCCCTCCTACTGAGTTTAATTGAACGCAATGAATGTCATTGAAAGGAAGTACTGAGCTCCGCAACGCCCCTTGCGTTGAATTTATTGAACAGTCAGGGACCTCTTCCACTTGCATTTAATCTCAAACGCTTCTGAGTCCCTCTGAAGCCTCGTAAAAACCTGTCTGAAATCACCCCTTCTGAGCAATCTTGTTCAATCCCCTTGAAACCATTCCGTGTCTCTATCTGAGCTGATCCCTCCTATTGAACTTATTTACCCTACACCCTAAGCCCCTAAACCCTAAAGCTAGGACCCCCGTGCCTTGCCCCTAATAGGGACCCACGTTCGTTTGCGGGTGTGATATTCAGCAGGATTCAACATTAAGGTTTCCGGGTTAGAGCCCTGCTGTTGGATTTAGTGGCTTCCATTTTCTTTTCCAGTAACCCTATATAACCTCAATATAACCCTAATAGAACCCTATAATATAATAGCTTCCATTTCCAAACCCTAAACCCTTTTCCAACCAAGGCTTGTCAGATGCCGATGGAACCTTCCAGACCGTGCGCGCATCCGCAGCCGGGTTCATTTAAAACTTCATCCCGATATTGCAGTAGAACCGCCGAACCTGTCCAAAATCCCAAGGAGGGTACTGTTGGGGGGATTGCATTGCAAACCTCGAATAACACCCAAATTGCATTCAGCTAGGCCCCATATTACTGTCCTTTGGACATCTTCATGTCGCAGCTGCCTCACAGCGACCAGGAGTAGAATTTTGATGGATAGAGCTATATTTAAAGGTTAAACCCTAAACCCTGAACTGAAACCGCTAACCCTTTGCAAGTGGACTACGCATGGGGCTACAGGTTTCCCAGGTGCGGGGTTCGGTGGGGGGTTCAGGGTTTAGGGTTTAGAGATTATCGCTTGGGGTGTAGGGTTTAGGGTAGAGCCCCCCTTAAGTAGATAGACTATGGGGTATATGGGGATCTTATTACAATATACCCAAAACCATATTCTATCTACCTAAGGGGGGAGTATACCCCTAAACCCTAAACCCTAAATAGTAGCTTCCATTTTCTTTTCCATTATCACTATAACCCCAATATAACCCCGATATTCTATCTACTTAAGTCCTAGGGACTCTCAGGAC